TATGTAATGTTTTGAACAACCAACAATAAAAATAAAAAAATAGGTATTGTAATACCAACTATATTAATTTTATCTTAATGAGAGAAACTCAGGTGTTTTTTTTTTTTTAAAGAAATCATACCAACACATTCAATACTGTCTATGTAAGCACACAGATTTCTTAGACTTTTGATAATTCAACTTTAAAGTCAACAACTTCTTCAGTACTAGGAGAAAAACAATTCAGTTATTTTGTGAGTACCTAATTCTAAATTATAAAATATTTAAAACCCCTGAAAAAAATGAAGACTAAATTAATGGCATAAAGTAACATTTTATATTTTTTCTTATCTGACTTTAAAATAAAAAGTAAAAATGTTTTAATTACATGAAAAATTACATTTTTAATCATACATTGAAGGAGAAAGGATTATCAGTTTTCGTATTTAACACATTTTAAATAACAGTACAGAGGAATGGTGACAGTAGCTCTTTCACAGAATAACAACTCTATCTTGCATATATTTTCTAATTAATATTCAAATAGTCATCTCTCACTTCTTTTATAAATATCTATTTCATTGACTATGCCACAGTGATTCCCTGTTACTAAGCAGTGAAGCAAAATTCATCATAAAACAGATCTAGTTCATTTTTTTTCATTACCTTTTTTCACCATAGTTCAACATAATTAAGTCATCCCTCAAAGAACTGGTCTGTTCTTCTACTATTCTCATCCTTTGCTGAAGGACTGTGAATGTTTCAGAAGCTGTAGAGTTGATGTGGGTTGGAGAGAGGATTGGCCTACATATTGTAGTTTCCATACGCTCCTATGATTAAAGTCACAATGTTAGTGTGGCAGATTCTATTATTTTTCAAAATTGTATACATCCCTCCTATCAGAATATTAATCACTGTCCTGTTGAACTCAGGTGTAACCATGTATTCTGCTTTGATTAAATGTGGGTAGAAGCTTTAAAAACCAGCTGTTGTTCATCATCTCTTTTCCAACATCCCAAATAGAGCCTGTTCCATATACCAGGGTCATGTTCCTACATAAGTGGAGTATAACCTGGAGAGCAGAAGGAAAAGCTTTTAAACCCCTAGGGCTGGTTCTGCTGCCAAAAACAGTGCTGGAGTTGAAACCATTGATTGTGTTGGGTAGGGTGAAAAGGTGGGGGCAGGGAGATAACAAGGAAAAGACACCAAATGAGTTTCTCTCCATTTTATTTTCTGTCTCCTACTGTTCCGATACTGCTGACCTAGAAATAAACCAGACTTACGGTGGGGAGAAAAAGTAGGGAAAACAGGTTAAGGGGGCTTGTGAGACACAGTTGGCTCCTCTGTCCTCTTTCCTAAGGCAGTTGAAAAGTTTACCTGCTCAGTATACCCCCTCCTAAAGGTGTCACACCCATGCGATACATCCTGCCTGGCTTTAGACAGAAGCTTGTAAAAGGGCTTTGGGGATTCTTTAGTTTTTCTGGTTAAAAAAAAAAAAAAAAAAAAGGCCAGAAACAATGGCACCTGACCCTTCCTTTTCCTCTTATGATGCCCAGAGCTCTCCTTCAGATCTTCATGCAGTGCCTCTCACTTAAATATAAACAAAGAGCCAGGGATCACCAGTATCTGAAAAACAAGGAAAAAGCCAGGGCGGCTCAGCTTAACCTGATATTTTTGGCAAAATCAGTAATCTCCAAACTCTGCTCATGTGAGGATAAATAAAATTATTTTTTATTTTAGTCACTTCTAAAACATGGTAGTCTCAGGCAACAGTTGGTGGGAAAACAAATAAAAGGAAGAGGTCAAGAACAGTGTGGGGTGAAAAAGGACAATTTCTGTGAAACTTGTTAGGCCCAGGTAGCTGGTTCTTATATAAAGAACTGCCCATATTCAGAAGCCAAACATATAATACAAATATAACAGAAGTCTTCCTTTACTAAAAGATATAGGAAATGGAATAGAAATTTTCTCCATATAGGATGCAGATTTTCACCTCAAATTTTTTAATGTAATAGTTGAAATGTCTAGTTTTGTTGATATTTCCCTAAGAAAGGTACTTATGATCTGCATAAAATACTTACATTTATTTATAATGAGTGTACACACATTTAGCCTTAAAAATAAAACAGAAAACAATTCAAATTCAGCTGTTTCATTTGCTTAAAAAAGAGTGTTTACATGCTGGGGTAGGAATTTGGCACACATCTAACCCTGTTCCAGACTAGAGCTTCTCAGGCTTCCAGAGAAGAAAACTACTCTAGAACAAAAAGGAAGAACCAACTTGACCCCCAGCCTCTGTGGGAAAGGTGGTTTAATTACAGGCCTGTAATTTCAGCAACTGGGGAGGCTAAGGCAGGAGGATCACAAGTTCAAGGCCAGCCTCAGTAACTCAGCAAGACCCTCAACAACTCAGCAAGACCCAGTCTCAAAATAAAAAATAAAGGGTTGGGGATAAAGCTCAGTTGTGAAGTACCACTGGATTTAGTTCCCAGTATAAAAAAAAAAGGGGGGGGGGAGAGCGGAATTCAGCCTAAAAAAGGGTGGGGATGTGGCTCAAGTGGTAGCGCGCTCGCCTGGCATGCGTGCGGCCCGGGTTCGATCCTCAGCACCACATACAAACAAAGATGCTGTGTCCGCCAAATACTGAAAAATAAATATTAAAGTTCTCTCTCTCTCTCCCTCTTTAAAAAAAAAAAAAAGAAAGGCGAGATCAAGATGACTGGAAACTGACTGGCGGTAGGCAGGAGGCAAAGCTTTTAAATGAAATAACACTGGGTTGTCCTTGAAATAGTCTCTTAGTCATTGAGGATCTTCTTCAGGTAGTAAGGAAACTGCTGACTCAAGTAAACAAGTCAATCTAGCTTTCGGGAGATTTATTAAAACAGGGCTCACAGTTAGTTGAAAACCCTTTCTCTCTCATCCCACTTGCCTCACCCCACCAAGAACAAACAAAAAACAGTGTCAAGCAATGTCGGGAGAGCCCTTGGAAGAAAGACAGGGAACAGTGATTGCTGATAGCTAAAGAAGGACAGCCTTAAAAGTCATTAGGGAGAGTTCCTGAGTATCTGGGAAGCTGTCAAAAGTGCAAAATAAGGACTTGGTATCCAATACACTCATCTGTTGAGTCAGATTTAAAAATCACAGAGATTTGCATTTTCACTGCAGTTACTTATCTGGTAAGTCTAAAGGAGGAGCACCACAGCAAAATGCCACCCCCCACACAAACACAATCCATTGGCCACTTAATAGATCCTTGTAACTGAGTCTAAGAAGTACAATCTTACAATAAATATTTTAATTATTAATATTCCAGCAACAAAAAAATAGAATTAACAAATTTGTGCTTTGCCCATTTTGAAAAGGAGTTGAATGTGGCCTTAAACCTAAGTCCTGATGCTTGGCAGTAACAATAAAAATACAAAGATACAAATTTTTATTAAAAAAAATTCATTCACATGAATGAATATTATCAAATGAATCTAGTTCTGTTTCAGTGTTTAGGGAGAGTATTTCCAAAGAGCTTCTAGGCAGTTAACTTCATGGAAAGCATGCCATGAGAAAGACAAATGTCATAGAAATACATTAGTAAAAGCCAGATGACTTTGAAAAGGAAACACTTGTTTCTGTGCATACAAAACCTACACCTAGCAACTGCTATAACCATGTGCTGTTGGTTCCAAAATAATAATAAGTACTCAATATTGTTTATCACAACCACTAGAAAATAGTTCAATGATATTATCTATTTCCTGAATGTTTAACATGAACCAGACACTGTTATAGGTACTGGGGAATTCAGCAAGTGAACAAAACAGACAGAACTCTGCCCTTGTGGAGTTTATATTCTAATTGGACAAGATAGACTCGAAGTAAAACAGTTGTTTGTAGGTGATAAAATACTATAGAGAAAAATAAAGAGAACGGGATAGTGGTTGCAGTCCAGATTTCAATTTTAAAGAGTGGTCAAAGAAAGTCCCTCACTGAGATATCTGAGCAAACACCTGTAAAGAAGGTCAGGCAAGAGCTGTATGAATATCTTGAGGACAGAAAGTCCAGAAAGAGCAAATACTAAGTACAAAAACTCTGTATTAGAATATCTGATGAATCCATAAATGGTAAGGATATAGTTTTGATCACAGACAAATGAATGAAGGAGAGAATAGTGAGAGATGAGGTCAAAGGGATAATAATAGGAAATCACACAGGGCCTTGAACACCCTTGTAAAGGTTTGGCTTTCGCTCAGCAACTCAGAACCCTAAGATGATTTAGAGCTAAGGATTGTTGTGACCTAATTTACCTTTTAACTCAATCCCCCTGGCTCTTCCACCCACTAAGCGTAGTAAATGGCAAGGGCAAAAAATAGGAGATATTTCCACCTAGAATCGAGGTGATAACAGTGGAACAGTAAGAAGTGGTCAGACTCCACACATTTTAAAGATTGGTTTTGGTGTTGGAAGTAAACAGCCAAATTTACTGCAAGGTTTTTGGCCTGAGTAACAGGAAGGATGGTATTACCATTGAGACAACAGAAACCTATTAAGAATCCATTTGGGGGTTGGTATTGTGGCTCGGTGGTAGAGCACTTGCCTAGGGTGTGTGAGGCACTGGATTCAATCTTCAGCACCACATAAAAATACATAAAGGTATTGTGCTCAACTAAAAAAAAAAATTTTTTTTTAAAAAGAACTCATTTTGATCAAGTTTGGTGGGGCACACCTGTGATTTCAGTGACTTGGGAGGTTGAGGCAGGAAGATTCCAAGTTTGAGGGTTTACTTAGTAGATCCTAAGAAATTAGCAAGGCCCTGTCTCAAAAATTGCTGGGATATGGCTCAGTAGTAAAACACCCCTGGGTTCAATCCCCTGTACCAAAAAAAGAAAAAGAAAAAAAAAAGAAAGAAAGAAAAAAGCCATTTTGGGGGAAGACAGAGAGTTGGCTTGGAATTTTTTAAATTAAAAACAGGTAAGATGCCCAGTGCATGATTGAATGTCTGGATCTGGAGTTCAGGGGGGAGGTGTGGCCTGAAGACATAAATTTTTAAGTTAATTCTGCATGGTGCATAAAATCATAAGACTGGATAAGAAAGAAAGTATTAAAGGACCTGAGCACTCAGAGATAAAACCAGGTACATGATGTACATGTCCAAAACAGATTAATGTGAACATCTCCAAAGCCAGGTTAGATTCTTTATCATTTTTCTGTCTTTAGGGTCTAACACAGTCCTGGGATATTACGGGTAGCAAACAGGAGGGCAATTCAATACAAACATAACGAATGTCTATTATATCCTAGCAGGATATTCTTTTTGCATGACTAGGAATTCAACCCAGGGCCTCCCGCATGCCAGGGAAGCACTCTGCCACTGAGATACACCCTCAGCCCTTAAATATTTTTTGAGACAAGTTTTCGTTAAGTTGTGGAGGTTGCCCTCAAACTTGGAATCCTCCCGCCTTCTGAGTCGCTGGGATTACAGGCATGCACCAGCGCCCCAGGCCTGACACCTACCTATAGTCTAGTAAGTAGGCCGGGGAGAATAACCAGTGGGGAAAACAAACAAACAAACAATCAAACATTAACATCGAAATGGCCTTCCCGGGAACCTATAACCTCCAACCTAACGCATAAAAAAAAAGATGGAACTGGGCTTAGCTAGGGGCTTTGGTGGCTAGCCTCCTCCCTCCGCTGGAGCTAGGGCAATGCAAATTTAGCTCTTAAAGGACGTTCACAGGCATCGAATGCAGAAATGCCTGAAATCCGGGGAGCGGGGCGGGACTCCGCCTGTGGGGAAAAGGGCGTCAGGGAAAGGTGATGGTGGCCTTGTCCGAGCCGTCGGTTTCTCCCTCCGGGGCCCGGCAGCCTCACCCCGGAGTCCATCTGCCCGCTGATGGCGGTGTCCTGCTGCAAGCAGGCCGGTTTCCATGCGACTAACACTGAACTTCAAACCCACCCGCTCGCTGGCGGGGTAGCTCCCGGACGCAAGCGCAGGTGTAGCAGGGCATGCTGGGAAGTGCAGTTCTCAAGGCCCAGCAGGGCCCTCCTCCCGGGGCGGGACCCAGGCCGGAATCCCGCGACGCGTGGGGAAACGTGCAGCCTCGTAGCCCGGATGACGACAGGCTCCATTATGTTCGCGAGCGGGGCTCGCCGGGATGTGTAGTTTCCGCTCTCTCCCAGCGGACTTTGCCCGGGGAGGGGGGGAATCGGCTGTGTTACACTAATTTCGGCAAATACTCGCCCTGCAGCAGACCCGAGTCCGACATTAGAAAATGCTTTTAGTTGTAGGAGGACTAAAGTTATCAAGTAAATTCTGAACGATAGAAAAATAATAGATTTTTGTTTACGAGCATTTTAAAAAATGGTTAAAAAAAAAAACCCCAAATTTCTTGTTAAAGGAAAAGAATAATTCCCTCTTCGACGTTCGTGATGGTGAGATGGAGAGTAAACCACATAGAGTCTGTTCTCTTGTCTTTTCATTTCTTTGGCCCAAGTTATTTCTTGCCTTGACAGGTAAGTGAATAGGTATTTCTAAATCCGCGCGTAAGTAGTTTAAAACGAGAAAGCAATGATAAGACTGCAGACTTTTCTGAGTTTTGCTTTAAAAGCATGTGTTTGCGTTCAAAGAAGAGCCTTTTATGATGAAAAGTCAGCACGGCTTTGCATTCGGTCGCTGGACGGAACTCTTTTTTTACCACCGCCAGGACAATTATAAGCTCTTCTCGCATCTCCTTGAGAAAACAGCTGAAAATCCCCTGGACCTTCTAATAAATTCAGTCAGATCCGAAATGAGTCCTCGTTTAGTTAGCAGGTGTCTGACTGAATTCATCTGGCTATTCTGATTCTTCTGAGAGCCAAGCCCCATGAGCTGGAGAGACTAACCGAGGAGCCTCAGCTATTTAAAGACATAATCATCTTACTGAGTCCATCCAGCGATAGAAAAATGAGCACCGCGTATGTAATTCAGATGAAGGGACCAAATAAAGCTTTCAATATGGAAAGTAGAAATGTATTTTAAAACGTCAATGCAAAAACAGTTTTTTTTTTTTTCAGAATGTATGATTCCTCTTGCAATGACCTCTGATATATCTTTGGAACTAGGAGATGAGGGACACGTGTGTGCACTTTCTTTTTTTTATTATTTTTTTTATTGGTTGTTCACAACATTACAAAGCTCATGACATATCATATTTCATACATTAGATTGAAGTGGGTTATGAACTCCCAATTTTACCCCAAATGCAGATTGCAGAATCACGTTGGTTACACATCCACAATTTTACATAATGCCCAGTTAGTAATTGTTGTATTCTGCTACCTTTCCTATCCCCTACTATCCCCCCTCCCCTCCCCTCCCATCTTCTCTCTCTACCCCATCTATTGTAATTCATTTCTCTCCTTGTTAATTTTACCATTCCCCTCACAACCTCTTATATGTAATATTGTATAGCAATGAGGGTCTCCCTTCATTTCCATGCAATTTCCCTTTTCTCTCCCTTTCCCTCCCATCTCATGTGCACTTTCATAGATAAAACTCAGGCTTCTTTGTGATGAGGATTTCACCTTCTCCTCAGATCTCCATATTAAGCAGCAGACAGCCAGAATGATTAAATATCGTGTTTTTCATTTCTTTTTCCCTATCACCATCTGGCAAACCATATAAAATCTTAAGTGAAATGATTACAAGTTTGAAAAAAGAATCTGAAGTCTTCAATAAATTAATTCATTCACCAGAGAATCCATCTCTGGATACTTGAGAATTCATTATATACAAAGTCTGATTTTATGTGGGTTGCAGTGGCACACGCCTGTAATCCCAGTTACTCAGGAGATTGAAACAAGAGGATTGCAAGTTGGAGGCTAGCCTGGTCATTTAGGGAGACCCTGTCTCAAACTTAAAAAAAAAAAAAAAGTTAAGCGTTCCTGTGACTCACTTAGTGGTAGAGTACCCCTAGGTTTAATCCTAAGTACCATACATCACACAAAAGTCTGATTTTATTTCTTTTAAATGACCAGACATATTGACTTCCCCTACACATACTACCATTTCCCTCTTGATTTCAATTGATAGTTTTCAAATATGTTCTCCTCCTTCCTAAAAGATTATTTCACTCATAAAATCCCTAGAGATTTCATAAGGACCACATCTTCTTTCACTAAATTACTACAATTGCCTCCTAACTGGTTTTCCTTTCACCCTTTCCAATGCATCCTTTGTATAACTACTAGAATGGTCTTTTAAAAATTATAAATCTGATTATCTTAGCCCTTGCTTACCATTTAATAGTTTCCCTCATTGAACTAATAGTTTTCCATTGAATAAGATGAAGACCAAACTGCTAATAGCTGTGGACTAATTCACCAGCCTCCTCTATATCTACTCCCAGGGGAACCCTAAACTCAAGCCGACTTAGCTAGCATAGTATGTCTTTGAGCTTGCAGGAACTGTTCACTCTGCCAGCCTTGCCCTTCCTGGTGTTAGTCAGTGAACTCAAGAGAAACTCAGTCTCTTCTGTGAAGTCATTCTCTTCCCTCCCTAAGTACTTTGTAATAGTATATCTTATATTTCCTTCAGTAGACTGTAAACTATTTTAGGACAGAAATTTTGTTATTTTTGTTTTCAATACCAAGTACAATGCCTGGAACATAGTTGGATATGGTGATGAACACCTATAATCCCAACTACTTGAGAGGCTGAGGGCAGGAGGATCCCAAGTTGGAGGCCCACCTGGACAATTTAGCAAGACCCTGTTTTAAAAGTTAAAAAGGCTGAAAGCACCCCTGAGTTTAATCCCCAGGACTGTAAAAAAAAAAAAAAAAAAAACTAAGAAAATTCTCCTGTTATCTACTCCCTACATAATCTTTTTGTAGGGCAGAAAAACACATCTTCTTGTAGAGCTGCCATTGATTTGACATTGCAGTGATACAAATAGCAGCAAAGTTACCTGCATCCACTTCCCCTTGGAGTTGTAAATGTGGTCTGTGGACAATGAAATGCAAGCATTAAAAAAAAAAAAACAAAGTCTTCATATTTCATTGGTACAATGGGAGAATAAGAATGGCAAATTCAGGACTGGAGATATAGCTCAGGAGTGGAACATGAGGCAGGCCCTGGGTTCAATCCCAGCATTGCAAAAAAAAAGAAAAGTTTACCAACTAGTTCCTGCTTATGTGGATAATTCAAATCTTTTGGTAAAATATTGGTTCTAGGATTTGAGGGGTTGGGGATTTAGCTCAGTGGCAGAGCACTTGCCTAGCATGTACAAGGCCCTGAATCTGGTCCTCAGCCCTGGGGGGCGGGGGGGAGGAGGGAGACAAAATACAAAAAAAAAAAAAACCAGAAACAAGGATTTGGAGAATTTTCTTAGTTATCTACTCCCCATCACAGTGCTGGGATCAAACCAACATGACAAGATTCTATTTCCTCCTGTTATCTATTCTACTCTGACAACAGCAGTGGGGCACGAGGGAAATTTCAGTATGTAACTAGTAGATGAGAAATATATTAACTCCACACAATGCAATATCATATGTGTATAGAAGAAATAAGGAAATATAGCTGATAGTATGAAGATGTTTAGTATATCATTCTTAAGAATATGCATAAACATCTGTGTTGATTTCTGTATCTCTCTGTGTGTAGATACATAATAGATACATAATATTTACATATATCCATGTAAATGTGTTTATACAATTAAACAAAGCATGAGTTCATATTGATACTCCTACTCAAATCCAGCACCATAGAGTTTATTCTAATCTTTGTCCTTAATTTTAACTAACTTCTTTCTCTAACTGTAAGACACCTGGTTCTCATTATCTAGGATATATTTACTAGTTTGTTCAAACTGAAATACATATAAAGTAGTCTTGAAAATTTCTAATCAATACATCAAGCCATCAATAATACCCTGTAACATGCATTTAATTTAAATTTAAAAAATTGCTATGAGAAATGGATTTGTAACTAGAGCATATTGCTTGAGTACAGTTCTTTTTGTTCTTACCCTTACAGTACCCAGTCAAAACAGTTTTCCAGAGTTGCTTAGGTCAGCCCCTTTTTTCACCACCAGCTTCAGTGTGGCTATTTGATTTATTTGTAATATGGTCAGATTCACTTGGCCCCATCCATATTCTATCTTATGTTCTACCCACATTCTGGTTTATTTTATTTAATTTACATATAGGAAAATTCAACTTCTGTGGTATACAGTGCTATGGGTTTTGACAAATCTATAGTCTTACAGCTAGCTACCTTCACAACTGCATACAGAACAGTATTGTTGCTTCCAAAACTCCATCATATTTCTCTTTAGAGTGGACCTCTTCCCCTACCTCCCAATCTGTGGTAATCACTAATACGTTTTCCATACCTAATATTTTTTCTTTTTTTAATATCATATTAATGAAGTTTGAACCTGGCTTATTTCATTTGTTAAGATGCATTTAAGATTTGTTCATGTTGTTGCATGAGTCAAAAGCTTATTTTTGTTATAGAGTAACATTCAACTATATGTATATACCACAGTTTGTTTAGTCATTCATTAGTTGAAAAACATCTGGGTTGTTTCCAGTTTGGGACAATTGTGAATAAAGCTGCTATAAAAAAAAATCTACTTACAGGTTTTTGTATGAAAATAAGTATTTCATTTCTTTTGACCAAATACCTAAGAGTGAGTTTGCTTGATTATATGTAGTATGTGTTTAACTTTGTAAGAAACTATGAAACTGCTTTTGAAAGTGGCTGTACCATCTTGTATATCCATCAACAATGTGTGATAGTACCAGTTGCTCCTTATTTTTAATCCCCATTTGATATTTTCAGGTTTTATTTTTCCATCATTTGAATAGGTGTGTGATGATATCTTGTGGTTGAATATACATCTCTCCAGTGGCTAAGATGTTTGACATATTTTCATATGCTTTTTTACATGTGTGTGTATTTTCTTTAACACAGAGTACCTTTTCATACCTTTCAAACATTTTTAAAATTGGATGATTTGTTTTCTTCCGGACTATGAGTCTATTTCTAGACCCTTTTGTCAGGTCCATTGATTTATATGTATACCTCTCCATCAGTGCTAGACT